TATGTGATGTTTCGTCTCTTAAGAGTTAAACATCCTGTTTCAAAACTTAATTAAAATCCCCCCCCTTCGTATATCCGTCGGTGGTATGCAGATTTAGTGGATTGTGTGATGTGGTTATTACCCAGGTGTTTACGAGTTCGCTCTTTAAGGTTGGCACTGAACAGGTTCTCTTTACAACAACTGTTGTCGTTTTTTTATTAGCTTTTCTGAGTTATTTGGTGTAGTATTCATGCACTTGAGTCTTCTGGATCTTTAACAAATTCAGAGCGGACTTACTGAACAATGGGGTCACGTATAGTGTATATCAGGGACAGAGCGCCAACTCGAAGGGAGGCACCGATTAACTAACAAAGTGAACTAATTGTTTGAATTGGGAGCGCCGAATTTATATGTCGCACAGAGTGTCATCAAATACCTCAATTTCACGAAATAAAACCATATGGGAAATTTAAGCTGCAGACAGTGTACCACTGTGCCCGTTAGTAATAGGCCTGTTGTAATATCAAAGCACAACATGCAACGGTAAAAGGTATAATACTAGTTTAAAAACATGCAACGGTAAAAAGTATTATGCTAGTTCAAAAACATGCAACGGTAAACGGTATAATGCTAGTTCAAAAATATGCAACGGTAAACGGTATAATACTAGTTTAAAAACAACCTTCAAGTAAGAATTGCATCTTGATGAACGTTTTGAAAACTCTCTTCTGAGGTATAAATGTACTAGTAATAAGATTAATAACAAGCAATCCTTTAGGACTAATTAGGCGGTGCTTCTAACACACATATTTAGCTGTATGTTATATATAACATATGGTGAATTGAACGACAGAATGGGCTTTATATATATTTTTTTAGATATATTTAAACATAGTAGCTTCAACAAACTGGTGTATTTACCGAACTTGTTTACAATCCTTGCTTTAATAAAATCATTAATGGTTGAATACACTTCTCAAGTCACTGAAACATCTGTATATTACACACCCGATCATTTGCTATTTCAATCAGTTAATGTCTCGGGATCGTATATACAGTTCTCAAGGCTAAAAAAAATCACAGTAGCGTGCGAACGTGCCCTGGTTCTTTTTTTTCCGAATCTCGTGTAAATCACAGTAGCGTGCGAACGTGCCCTCGTTCTTTTTCCGAATCTCGTGTTAGTTAGTTCTTCATGCATTATTTGCTCAGTCCATCTCGTTTCACGAACACGTCACCTCTCAAGGTTTATGTAATTCGTTTCACGAACACGTCACCTCTCAAGGTTTATGTAATTCGTTTCACGAACACGTCACCTCTCAAGGTTTATGTAATTCGTTTCACGAACACGTCACCTCTCAAGGTTTATGCAATTCGTTTCACGAACACGTCACCTCTCAAGGTTTATGTAATTCGTTTCACGAACACGTCACCTCTCAAGGTTTATGTAATTCGTTTCACGAACACGTCACCTCTCAAGGTTTATGTAATTGCGTTTGATTTCGAGCACGAAATTCTATCGAGTATTATTATCCAAAAGTGTTGGAGACGACCAACGTGTGATTCTTTGTCACTATTAACGGTTACTTTGTTTAAAAGAAAAGAAAAGCTTAAAAGCTGAAGTAATAAATAGTAAGCCTTCTATGCGTGTTCTTTTGGCACGTTTTTTTTCCTTTTCCAGCAGGATCTTCTGTCTTAATGGCATCTTCCTCCCCCGGAAAATCCTGCTGTCACCACCGCGAACTGTGGCAGTCAGATGAGAGATGGCAACTTCCAAAGTTAAGAGTTTTAAGTGCTATAAAAGAATTTATGAAACTTATATTAGATATTTTTGTAGTTTAATATCGGTCGTTCCAAATAATGAAGTAATAACTGAAAATGTAGAGCACGTGTGGGAAAGAACAATATTAGCATTGTTACTAATACGATCAGAACACTTAGGCCTAGCTCTCGATAACCTTTGTTCAGCTGCGGCAATGGAAACACATTTTTTCTTAATTATTCTAGTTTGTGATTGGCCCTCTTCAAGAAAAGATCTGTATCTACCGCATACGCCAAAACAACGAACCAATAAGACGAGTTAACACACGTAAAATAAGAATAACAATGCTTATATATATAGTTATACACACACACACGATAAAATTGAATTTTTACAAGACTGCCAACAGCAGAAATACGGCGCTGTAAAATAGAAAAAAAAACAACAACACAACATAAAGTTTGTATATGGGTCTGTGTTAAGCTTGTTAGAGATAACTGGAACGAAAACTAGCACCGAACCGATCTAACCAATACCAAACATGAGTATCCTGTACAATACACACTTTATTCCTTTCTTTATCTGAACAAGTAGAAAAAAACACTTTTTTTTATGTTACTAAACAACACTGGAAAGGTGAATAGAATAAAAAAGTAAAGAAAGAAACTCGTCTATTTATACACAGTTATAATCTCATACAGATAACGAAGTAAGCATGGAAAAAAAATTTCCGTTGCGAAAAACTTCTACATCTTTACATGTAAATTTGAAAGAAAAATCTTTGTCAGAACTGACGTGTTACACCATATCTTTTCATTAAATAAGTTACAGTCACCGTGCCTCTTACAACAACAACAACACATTACAGTTACCGTACCTCTTACAACTGTGTTGTTGTTGTTGTAAGAGGTACGGTAACTGTAATGTGTTGTTGTAAGAGGTACGGTAACTGTAATGTGTTGTTGTAAGAGGTACGGTAACTGTAATGTGTTGTTGTTTTACAGTTACTGTACCTCTTACAACAACAACAAATTACAGTTACTGTACCACTTACAACATAACAACAACAACACATTACAGTTACTGTACCTCTTACAACACAACAACAACACA